TTTTGTCTCTTGTGCACGTGCTTTGTGTAATTGTACCGCCATATTTTTCCCTTGTGCACGTGCCGTGTGTGTAGCTGTACGGAATATTTTTGTCTTTTGTGGATGTCGTTCAGTGGTGGAGCGAGGCCTTGTGTAGGTTGTATTTGAAAAATGATGAATCTGCCACTTCATATTTTTTGTCCTTTGTGCACGTCGTAAGTCGTGGAGTGAGGCCCTGTGTATGGGGACTTAGCTTGAGACCAGGTACATCCAGGGGGCCCTGTGTAGATGTATTCAATAATGCATCTGTCTCTACAACATAACTAGATAACGCCACCAAAAAAAAATTATCCTTCTTACGTGTGTCACGTAGTGGGCCGATGCCCCATGTCGCCGTATTCGAACATGTGGCAACGGGCCACCAGGGGCACCCCAAAACCGCAACACCACGTCGCCACAACCACAAATGAAACCATGCCAGCTGCGAGTGGCCGGGAAAAAAAAAAAAAAAAAAAAACTTGCAGACCCGGAGTTCTCGTTTCCTGGGTCATCATAGAGCAACCTCGACGGCTCTGCAGTCCCCCCCAAGACGACAACCGCAAGCAAAAAGACGTCAGCTGCAACGGAAAGTAAAAAAAAAAAGAAAAAAAAAAAAGGCGACCTCGACGGCTCTTTTGTTACATCCCACTCCCCCCCCCCCTCCCCCCCCCTCCCCCCCCCGGGGACCTCTCCCGCGGCAGCATGTTTTGCTGGGCCCAGTGGGGGGGTTATTAGGGGCAGGTCCCACTTCTTTCCGTTTTCGTAAGAACGTAAAAGTGCCGCGAAATGTGGAGGCGTGGCGCACGGAACGTGAAAGAAAAACATGACCCCACATGCCCTACGTCTGCGGGAATTTTCCTGACGGAGCGGCACGGCACTATATCTTGTGGCGCCTCGAGGATCCAACGGCCTGCCTGCACATCTGGAAGAAAAACACAAGGGCTCCTCCTTTCACAGTGCAGGGTACGGGGGTTGGCCTCTCCCGGAAATCGGAAGAACTACCGCCCCTGGGGCGTCGTCCCACTAGCAAAGAGGATCGGATCGAGTGCCTGAATCTGGACGAGTTTATGGAGAGGTGCAGGAAATCGAGATTGAACTGGTTTTCTGCATCTCTGCTTAAAACACATACAGATTCAGGAGCTTGATTCAATCCTCTTTGCTAGTTGGACCTCGGCTCGGCCCTGCAATCACGCTCGCGCCTCCACGTACGAGAACGTTTCCACTTCCCCGACGTTCCGGGACGGGATCCGAGTTTCGTGGAAAGAAGTGGAATCCCAAATTTTTGTGGTTGTTTATCTCACTCAGGCGTTGTGGGCAGTTTCCACACTCTTGACTTTATAAAGGTATAGCCATAAAAAAAAAAAAAAAAAAAACAACGATATCCTTTCTTTTGTTTTGTTTTCCATGGACCGTTCCTCACTTGCCTATAGAAAAAAAAAAAAAAAACACAAACTACAAAAAACAAACAAACAAACAATGGAATCCTTTTTCCGCCCGATAGCTTACACCACCAGTACCTTTCCCATATATCAGCCGCGCGCAGTTTCGGAGGCCCGAAACAAAAAACAGGCCGCCGACGGAATTTATCAATGGCGGCCCTTTCCCGCTTGGCTTCCGGATATATACCGACACGCCTTTCATTTTCCCAGAGGGGAAAGGTCGTAGCCTAGTAGGTAGTTAAAAACGGCTACCGTGTTCACCCGACTAGAACGCCCGGCCATTATTACCCATATTTGGTGCGATTTTCCGTCCAGATGCAGCCATAAGGATCCGGTGTTCTCGTCGGGTGAAGACGGTAGTAGTAGTACACAGGCACCGGCCTTGTGGAGAAACGTTTCATTGCCTACTCCAAAACTTTTGGGGCTCCGCCCGGTACTGCAACGAAGGAGGAAGCTGGTAGGCCCACAGGAAAGGGACAAACGGACTAAGTTTGTCGTAGGAAGCCGGTGGGCCCAAGGGAAAGGGGCAAATGGACTGCAATATGTACATCTACACCCTTCTGGAGTTTTCTTTTTTTTTTTTCTCTGTTCCTTTTCGTGCATCTGCACCCGTTTTTGGGAATGGTACGGCCGCAGATTGAGAAGCGATTGCCCCTGCCTATTTGGCAGGGCTTACAACAAAAAGAAAGGAAAAAATTCCGAAATAATTAAAAAAAAAAACTACTCAGTACTTGCAACATTTCATGGCGGTCACTTTCTTTTTTTAGGGGGAAAAAAAAAAAAAAAAAAAAAAAACCTTTCGCAGTGGCGGTGGCAGAAGGTTTGTAAAATTTGTCTGTATCTGGTGCTGACAGCAGGTTTTAAAAATTGTCTCTATCTAGCACCATTCCAGCGGTAGATACCGACGCCAGTATGCAAGGAATCTATTTCAGTTGTCATAGTTTTCTTACTTAGCAAGGGAAAAAAAAAAAAAAAAAAAAAAAGACTGTGCTACGTTCATTCTTCTCTAGAATTATTTCTGCCATTTCACCAGCCTACCTAAGGCTACTTAAAGGGGGGCCTGACAAGCTGAGGTGCCTCGCACAAAGTTAAAGAGGGGATCGTGTTGCCCCCTTCCATATCAGCGGTAGTCAGGGGGGGGGGGGGGGGGGGGGGGGGGGGGGGGGGGGGGGGGGGGGGGGGGGGGGGGGCATTTTATCTAAAGACCCCCAGGCCTGAGCATTTTGCCAGTAGCCAAGCACCTTATATGCCCGGGCATCCAAATGCGCATTGTGCCAAAGCAAAACACAAACTGGTGCAGGCACGGTTGGCTGGCGTCGCCAGCCATTTCGCTCCGTCTACCGACCTCCAAAAAATGTCACGACATGCAAGGAGCGTCTAACAAAAATAGGTGCGAAACGTACTGGCGGCTTAATCCACCAGTACTTGGCCCAGCTACCGGCCGCGGAAAGAAATAGAATAGAGACGTTTCTAGTTGGATGAATTTGGGCGCTCCAGTAGTGTCCCGTACGTTTCCTGAAATCGCGTATAGCATTAACGGGCACGACTTTAGGAAGTACTGGCGGCTTAAAAGCAAAACCCACCAGTGGAACATCTCACTACTGTTCTTCGGCGGGAATCTTCGCTTTCCATATACGAGACGAGTTACACCAGGGATGGCGCACGGCCGGTAGACTCTTGGATGACGACTCGGAGTAATAGCGGAGTCCCTAAATGGCTCTAAAGAAGAGTAGTCGTGGGCCTACCCGGAGGGAGATCCCACTAAGGATGTATGTTGAGCAGTGTGACGGTTGCGGGACGTGCGGGCGACATCCGTGTAGCATCCTTTACTCCGCTATAAATGTTGAAAAAAACAAAATGTCGCAAATTCTGACAACGCAATGTTGTCCACCCGCCGCGAACTGCGGTCAGCAGCTGTCAGGTTGTGGATCTTCTGATGATTCCGCTGGTATGTTGTGCATGTGGACGGTTCATGGCCCATGTACACGAGGCCAGCACACATTTGTTAACGTTCCCCAACGAGAGGCTTGGAATGACAGACAAGTTGTGCAAGACTCTGACATCAACTGACATCCCTTCACGATGAGAAAAGGGGAACATTTTCATTTTCGGCCTCTTTTGAAAGCATGGGCAACGACGCAAACGTAAGACTTAGTGGAAGGTGTGTGAAAATCCAACCAAAAAAAGTTGGTATGATTTTCACGCACGTTCATGACCCCCAGAGGAGCACGGCAACAAATAATTTTGAAATAAATAAATTAAAAAAAATGGGGTGGTAGTCTGGTAGATCTTTTTGACGTCTACAACCTTTTTTTTTTTTTTTTTTTTTTTTTTGAGAAACACGCCCCTGCTAGTGCTAGAGATGCTGATAAAGGCAGACACCTCTAGCACCCGGGGAGTACCAATAAGAAGATTGTGGGTTGAGGCCGGGGTCCTCACAGTCTGCCCAGAGTAACCGAACCAAACTTGCTGAGAACCGGGCTCAGCGTCCCTCATGTGGTGATGATGATGATCCTGGATGACGCTAATGATGATGATGATTAGTATCTATAAAGATTATAGAAACATGTGCTTACTCCAGAACAGAAGGTGGTAATCGGCCCGTGGTTGAAGAGCTGACTATAACAAGAGCCGGTTTTATTACTAAAAAAAAAAAAAAAAAAAAAAAA